CCAAGAACATTCACTCTTACACACACACACACACACACACACACACACACACACACACACACACACACACACACACACACACACACACACACACACACACACACACACACACACACACACACACACACACACACACACACACACACACACACACACACACACACACACACACACACACACATTATACGTGACTCGTCCTTACAGTGTCCAAATTTTAATAAGATAAGTGAAAGTGTAGAGAGAAACAGACAGAGACAGAAGAGAGAACGAGACGGACAGACGAGAGACAGACGGACAGAGAACAGGCAGACAGAGAGACAGACAGACAGAGAGACAGAGAGAACAGACAGACAGAGAACAGACAGAGGGAGACAGAGACAGACAGACAGAGAGAGACGGACAGACAGAGAGACAGACAGACAGAGAGACGGACAGACAGAGACAGACAGACAGAGAGGAGCAGAGAGAGACGGACAGACAGAGAAGACGGACAGACAGAAGAAGACGGACAGACAGAGAGAGAAGAAGACGGGAGACAGGCGAACAGAGAGGGAGAGAAGACAGACAGACAGAGACAGACAGACAAGAGAGACAGAGAGAGAGACAGACGAAGACAGACAGACAGAGACAGACAGACAGAGAGAGAGACAGGGAGACAGACAGGGAGAGGAGCAAGAGAACGGACAGACAGAGAACAGAACAGAGAGACAGGCAGACAGAGAGACAGGCAGACAGAAGACGGACAGCAGAGACAGAGAGACGGACAGACAGAGACAGACAGAAGACAGGCAGACAGAGACAGGCAGACAGAGAGACAGACAGACAGAGAGAGACAGACAGACAGAGACAGACAGACAGAGACAGACAGACAGAGAGACAGACAGACAGAGAGACAGGCAGACAGAGAGAGACAGACAGACAGAGAGAACGGACAGACAGAGAGACAGACAGACAGAGAGACAGACAGACAGAGAGAGACAGAGAGACGGAGACAGACAGACAGAAGAGACAGAGAGAGACGGACAGACAGAGAGAGACGGACAGACAGAGAGAGACGAACAGACAGAAGGAGACGGACAGACAGACAGAGACGAGCGGAACAGAGACAGGCAGACAGAGAGACAGGCAGACAGAGACAGGCAGACAGAGAGAGACGAGCGAACGTAAAGAGAGAGAGACGGACAGACAGAGCAGGGAGAAAGAGGGCGGACGAACGAGGGCGGGCGGACAGAGAGCGGACAGACAGAAGACGGACAGACGAGAGGCAGACAGAGAGAGACGGACGAACCGAGAGAGAGGGACAGAACAGAGGCGGACGGACAGAGAGACAGACAGAGAGAGACAGGACAGAGCAAGAGAAAGGGCAGACAGGAGAGAGACGGACAGACAGAGAAGAGAACGGACAGACAGAGAGACAGAAGAGGGCAGAGAGAGAGACGAACAGACAGAGAGAAAGAGAGACAGAGAGAGGAGACGAACAGGAGGAGAGAGACAGAGACAGTGAGAACGAACAGAAAGACAGAGAGGCGATACTCTGGTTACAGTGCTCACACCCATCCTGAGGGGTCGATGTTTCGCGCCTAGGATCCCACTTGCCTCCCTCCTCCTCCCTCCCCCTCACCCCTTCCCACCCACACCTCCTACACACCTCCCACCCCTTAACCCCCTCCCACACCCACCCTGGTCTTTACCCAGGTGTGTATGTATGTACCTGACTACAGTTGAGGGAGTGAAGGTGGTCAGTACAGTACCGAGGGTTTAATTTGGTTTAGTGTTTAATTAATGGCCGACAGTATATGGCTTGATACATACCTCCTCTCCACTACACTCACCACCCTCCCTCCTCCACTACTCCACCCCTCCCTCTCCCTCCACCTCCCCTCCACCCCTCCCTCTCCCTCCACCTCCCCTCCCTCTCCCTCCACCCTCCCCTCCACCCCTCCCTCTCACCCACCTCCCCCTCCACCTCTCTCTCCTCCCCTCCCCCTCCCTCTCCCTCCTCACCCCTCACTCCTCCCTCTCCTTCCCTCTCCTCTTCCTCCTCTCCTCCACCCACACCCTCCCACCCTCTCCTACCCATCCCATCCCACCATTGTCCTTGGAAGGGTGAGGTGTCGCTAGGTGGTTGTTGTGGCAACTTGGCTTCCGAGGCGCATGGCACGGAGGGTGGAAAGAGTGTGGAGGAGGTGGAGTAGTGAGATGTTGGATGAATGTGGAGTGAGATGCGGAATAGTACACTAAGCATCTATAGACGGATCGCATCTCCCCGAACTTAACGCCATCTGTTGATTGAAAGCGATACTATAAAGTGGGATTGTCTTACGCTGTATTTGTTTCAGATGTTTACTAAGGACGGGTGTGTTGTAGGGTGGTCCAATCTCTCTCTTTTTCTCTCTCTCTCTCTCTCCTCTCTCTCTCTGTTTATTGCCACTTCATATCCTATCAATATCATCGAGGTGTTGAATAAGATCCGATTGGTTTGCGTTCCTCCCTGAATACCAAGTGTGGGGATGCACGCCCTTAGGTAAAGTAGTGGTAGTTTATCTTTTTTTCTCTCTCTCTCTCACTGGGTCCTCGGTGCAGTGAAGTGAGCAAGAGGAACCCATATAAAACGGAGAGGGGGCGTCAACGTGGCTGGCTGGCGTCTGTACTGCCGCAACCTGACAACTATCTATCATCTTGTCCCGATCACTGTCTCGTCCCCGATCACTGTCTCACACTGTCACTGTTTTCTCACCCTTATCACTGCCTCGCCTGATCACTGTCTCACTGTCACTGTTTCTCCCCTTATCTTTCTCGTCCCCTGATCACTGTCTCACCCCTGATCACTGTCTCGTCCCTGATCACTGTCTCGCTCTCCTGATCACTGTCTACTCCCCTGATCCTGTTTCTCCCTTATCACTGCCTCGCCCCCCTGATCACTGCCTCGCCTGATCACTGCCTCGCCCCTGATCACTGCCTCGCCCTCTGATCACTGTCTCGTTCCCTTGATCACTGTCTCACTGATCACTGCTCTCCTTATCACTGCCTGGCTCCCCCTGATCACTGTCTCGCTCCTGATTACTGTCTCGGCTCCTGATCACTGTCTCTCCCCAATCACTGTCTCCCCTGATCACTGTCTTGCCTCTGATGCTGTTTCGCCCAAATGATCACTGTCGTGCAGGATGTCACCAGGGGTTCGTGCAGGATGTCACCAGGGAGGAGTTCGTGCAGGATGTCACCAAGGAAGGAGGTCGTGCACGATGTCACCAAGGGAGGGAGGCGTGCAGGATGTCACAAGAAGGAAGGGTCGTGCGCAGGATATCATCAAGAAGGAGGTCGGTGTCATCAAGGAAGGAGGTCGTGCAGGATGCACCAGGAAGGAGGTCGTGCAGGATGTCATCAAGGAAGGAGGTCGTGCAGGATGTCACCAGAAGTGTTCCTCAGTGACCAGCAGAAGCAGTGTGGAGGATAGGATAGAGGATAGAGGGACGTCACTGCTGGGTCTTGTCTGCTAGGAGGAGGATGGAGGAAAGGAAGAGGTGGGAAGAAGGAAGGTAGAGGGAGGGAGGAGGATGCTACCTCTGATTCACCTGATAGAAGATTGTTCGTGGTGAGGTGCACCTGACAATACACTGAGGGTACACGATTGCATGATTTGATTTAGTAGATGAGCTACATCGCCTGCGTACACTTCTATTTTGCTCCAGTTAGCCTTTGACCTCTTGATTTGACCCACTTAGAATTTTCCCGTTTCTTCTCGTCTGCTCACGTCAACATTGCCACTCTCTCCTCTCTCACTGATCTGAGTCCTGAATCCCTGAATCCCTGAATCCCTGAGTCCCTGAGTCCCTAGGTCCCTGAGTCCTGGATACTATAAAACCGATCACTTCACACGCCAACATATCACATTACGAATTCTCTTAGTCACCCTTTGTTTACATCCGTTTTCTATAATTATCATAGAAAACGTTATTAATCGAGTTACCCTTCGTTTTCTTATGTTTCCTATGTAGTTTCATAGAAAACGTATGTAAATAATAGTCGGTATTTTTAAAAGATAAATTATTCCATTCTTTTAACTTTAAATTATTATTATTATTATTATTATTATTATTATTATTATTATTATTATTATTATTGCTGTCCTTCGTAATCATCTTTTGACTTTAATTACGTTTAGTTCAATTAGCGAATCAAACATCATCTCAGTTCAATAAATTAAGTGTGTCCTGCCGTTGAGTGTGTGAGAGCGAAGATTGAGTGTGTGTGTGTGTGTGGTGTGTGTGTGTGTGTGTGTGTGTGTGTGTGGTGTTGTGTGTAAGTGTAATTTAAATGCTCAGAAGAGAATGAAATTAGACCAGAGAGGTGTCAGGTTAGGTTAGGTTAAAATTAAATTACACCAGGTTAAGTTAGGCTAGTTAACAATAAGCTAAAATGAGTTGAAATTCGATTAGAGATTAAGAATTTAAAGCGAGTTAAGGTTTTTAATTGGTTGGACTAGACAGGTTAAATTAGGCCGTCAGGTTAAATTAGATCAGGTCATGCCCAGGTAATTAGAATGTATGGGTAATTAAGACACCTGGTTGTTATGTCTTGTGTTGATGTCTCATTCTTGGAAGACATAAGTAGAACCCTTCCTTTCCTTCCCTCCTTTCCCCTCTCCCACCCCTCCTCCCCATCCCCACCTTCCATCACACTAATTTGAGCTTGTTAACCCCCCAAATTAACGTCTCAATTATGGGTCGGTAATGAGTTCATTTACTTGACCTGGCTGTTATAGACTAATATGTCTGTCTATATTTCTTTCTCTCAGTTATGTAGTAAAAATCTGTTCTGTCTGTCTGTCTGTCTGTCTGTTTGTCTGTCTGTCTGTCTGTCTGGGATGGAGGGAGGTGAGATGAAGAGGAAGTATGTAGCCTAACCTAACCTAATCTAACACTAACAGCCTCCCACTAACAACCAACCTTAACCCAACAGCACAACCCAACCTAACCTAACTCTCTTCGTCTCTTCCACAGAATCGAACATCCCGATCGTCGGCAACGTCTTCAGCTTCGTCTCCACTAAATACCCGGACGAGTGGTTTTGGCGCATGGTAAAGGTACGTGTGTGTGTGTGTGTGTGTGTGTGTGTGTGTGTGTGTGTGTGTGTGTGTGTGTGTGTGTGTGTGTGTGTGTGTTTTACTATCTACCTGCGTTAGTTAGCTCTATAGGAGTTAGTTGGTGTGTTATATAAGATGCTGAGGTAGAATATCTCTCTCTCTCTCTGTTTTCTTCTTCGTTCACTAATTTTCTTCTCACTTTCTTCTCTTTACTCTCCTCCTCCTTCTCCCGCTTCCCTCCCTCTCTCTCTCTCCTCCCCTCCTTCCTTCCTTCCTTCCTTCCTTCCTTCCTTCCTTCCTTCCTCTCTAGTTCCCTCCCTCCATGACCACCACCACACCATTAACCACACCGTCTGCACACTCCTACAGGTGGTGATGTGGCTGATAGCGATCTTGTGCGGGATGTTGGTGGGAAGGTCCTCATCCACGGCCTCATCTTCAAGCGGATGTTGCGTCTCAAGATGTTTAGAGATGAACAGGTGAGTGGGGGGGGTGAGTGGGGAGAAGGTGGGTGGGGAAGGTGGTGAAGGGGGAGAGGTGGGTAGAGGTGTGGGGAGAGGAGTGGTAGAGTGGGGTGTGGAGGGTGGAGAGGGTGGGAGGGAAGAAGAGGGAGTGAGGGGAAATGGAAAAGGAGAGAATAGTGGGGAGGGTGGGGAGAGAGGAAGCAGAAGGAAGAGAGGTAGAGGAGTAAAGAATAGAAGAGGGAGGAAGGGAAGGAGGATGCAAAAGTTAGGTAAAGTTAAAGGAAAAGAAGGAATAGGGAAGGAGAGGGATGGAGTGGGGGATAGGTCTCTTGAGAATAAAATAGGTTAACATTAGGTCACAGGGATAGAAAATAGGTCACCAGGTAGGAAAACACACGGGTTGGGGGAGGGTGGATGGGTGGGAGGGGTGGGTGGGGGTGGGTGGGGGGTTTGAGTTATCACGTGATCCAACCTACCTTGTAATTATCGTCTCACCTTTTCCTCTCCACACGAGGGATCTTGGATGACGATGGCGCTGACGGTGAGTGTCGTTGTACATGTTCTCCTACGTGTACAACCTCATTCTGCTGATTGGACACTCTGAGGCGTGCAGGTGGCAGATGGTTCGGACATGAATGTGACCAATGAGAGGTGGGTTTGACGTAGGTGACATGAGAGGTGAGTTTGATGTGGGTGACCAATGAGAGGCGGTTTGACGTGGAGGTGACCAATGAGAGGTGGTTTGACGTGGAGGTGACCAATGAGGTGGGTTTGACGTGGAGGTGACCATGAGAGGTGAGTTTGACGTGGGTGACCAATGAGAGGCGAGTTTGACGTGGATGTGACCAATGAGAGGCGAGTTTGACGTGGATGTGACCAATGAGAGGCGGATTTGACATGATGAGACAAAGTGTGAATGTGGGTGGGTGGTCGGTCCCCCCCTCTCCGTTAACAAAACACACACACACACACACACACACACACACACACACACACACAGAGGAACCTGGTGGGCTAAAACATAATGTTGAGTCATATCCCCAAGTCAGAGAAGCGTACTAATGGGAGGCTGGAGTCATTATATGATCAAGGCTCATTTCACGCGACAAATGACTCCTTGAGGCCAAACACGCAAAAAGTGCTGCATCCGGATGCCTAGTACACAAGTCTCTCTGTCTTGACGATCAAAGGAGTTCTCTTCTCTCTCTCTCTCTCTCTCTCTCTCTCTCTCTCTCTCTCTCTCTCTCTCTCTCTCTCTCTCTCTCTCTCTAAGGCCATGGGTTCCAAATCACATGATAAATTCCTACATATATTTTCTTTCCTCCTTTATCATTTCATCAACCCATTACCTTCCCTCCCCTCCTCCCACTACCTTCCCCTCCCCTCCCCCACTACCTTCCCCTCCCCTCCTCCCCTACCTTCCCTCCCCCCTCCTCCCATTACCTTCCCTCCCCCTCCCTCCCTACCTTCCCCTCCCCTCCTCCCACTACCTTCCCTCCCCTTCTCCCATTACCTTCCCTCCCCCCTCCTCCCCTACCTTCCCCTCCCCTCCCTCCCCTACCCCTCCCCTCCTCCCTACCTTCCCCTCCCTCCCCACCCCCCCTTCCCTCCCCTCCTCCCATTACCTTCCCCTCCCCTCCTCCCATTACCTTCCCTCCCCTCCTCCCATTACCTTCCCTCTCTCCCCTCCTCCACTACCTTCCCTCCCTTCTCCCATTACCTCTCCCTCCCCTCCCATCACAAATCCCTTACCCACCTAACTCTCCCCACAACCACTACCTACCCCTCCCACCACTAGCACCTACCCTTACCACCACCCCTTCATCCTCCCCCTTCCACCACCTTCTCCTGACGTAGAGGCCGAGTCTTCACATCACTCCCCTCTCCACCAGCAGGAGGATGTGTGGTCGTGTCTGATAGTGCCTACCGCCGGCGTGTGTTAGCAAGGAGGATGTGCTGAGATCGTGTGGTGGGGGAGAGGAGGTGGGATGTGTGCATATGTCAGCGCTGCTCTCAAGTGATACAAGACGTCCCTGTGGCTGAGGTAAACCAACAGCGTCACCCCCAGCAGGAAGGTTCTCTGGTTGCCTCTTCGCTCGATCTTGAGGGACCTGAGGAAAATTGTTCTTCCTTGGGATTTTGTTTTTATTTTTCAAGGTGGAGAAGATACCTCGTCCTTGAGAGTTATAGGGTGATAGAGAAAATGTCCTTTCCTCCTGCCTGCTCCCTCCTCCCTGCTCCCTCCCTCCCTCCTTCCCTCCTGCCTGCTCCCTGCCTCCCTCTCTGCCTCCCTGCCTGCTCCTGCCTGCCTCCCTCTCTGCCTCCCTCCAGCTCACAGTGTCTCAGGAGGCAGGGAATAGCAGAGACATTTTCTAACCTAACCTAATGTAACCTGAGGTGCGACAGGTAAATGGGAGGTAATTAATGAAGATAAAATGTTGAGAGGAACGGAGGATGATTGATGAAGATGCAGGTGAGCCCAGGTGAAGGAGGTAAGGTAGGATACCCTCCCCCATCTCTCCCCTTCCTCTAACCCCCCCCTCCTTCTCTCTCAGGTATTAGTGGTGACGGGGAGCACTTCCTCCTACCCCTCCTCTTCCTCTTCCTTATTCTCCTCCTCCTCTTCTGTATACATCCCCTTCACGAATCTGTTTGCTCTGATGAGAAAAGAAGAGGTGGAGGACTGTTGAAGAGAGGGAGAGGAAGAGTTGGTTGGACACTGAATTCCCTACACGTTGATACTGAACCTAGATATACCGCCACAATTCTTTCCTTCCTCCCATAAACATTGCCAGTTGTCCCCTTTTAATGCCTTCTCGTTGCCTTGGGGGTCGATTACACCTTTCTCCATCACACTCCTACGGGGGTTTACCAGCGACCACGATTCTCCTCCTTACCTGTCAACCCTCGCCTACAGCCTTGAGACACATGTGTGGGATTATAGCCAGAGGGTCGACAGCTACGTTCCTGAGGGTGAGCGTGGAGGGTGAGGTGGGAGAAGGTTGATACGACCCACTAGTGAATCTGTAGGTTCCCCCATTACACACACCATCCCCTCCCCTTTCCCCCTCCAGTTCACCATCACTAACACCTACCATACCACCATCACCTCAAATTGGATCCTCTTACCTCCCCCTCCCCCTTCCCCTTTACATCCCCCTACCCAACCCCCTTCAGTTCTCTCGCCTCATTATTGGGAAACACACTTGGGCAACTTTTACGCGTGTTTTGACGAGGTTGTATCCTCCGGGCCCCACCACCACCCAGTGTACAGGAGTTGGTGGCGATATTTAACAGAGTTCTCCAGTCTCGTCTCGTTTGTTGGACAGTGTGAAGTGGGTCTTGTGTCTCGCCCTTTACCCCCCTCTTTCCTTGTTCCCCTTCCCTCTTCTCGACCCCTTCCTTTGCTCCACCCCCTCTTGGTCTATAAGTCATGTTGACGAAAAATACTGTCAGATTCGCCATAACTGGTGTGTGTGTGTGTGTGTGTGTGTGTGTGTGTGTGTGTGTGTGAGAGTGAGTAGGTTTGTGTTTACGTGTGGTAGTAGTTTATTATTATTATTATTTTATTATTTTTTTTATTTATTATTATTATTATTATTATTATTAACAAGTATAACCTCACCTATTCACTTGTACCCTGGAGATTAATTAGATACACCTGGTCGCCTTAACCAGGTAATGTGGCGTGGTGACGAAACGCCTTAAGAATTACTGTAAGATTATTATTTTTGTAATGAATAATTCCATCATCATCATTATTATTTTCGTCGTCATTATTATCATTTTAGCCTTCATTCCTAACTCGTCATTAACTACTGGCAATCATCACTATCTGTCATCATTATCATTGAACTTAATCACTATCATTATGACGCCTCACCATCATTATTAGTGACACCATTATCATTACCGTCTGTCGTTCTTATTATCATTTATATCTACCTGATCTCACTATAACCATCACTATAACCATCACTATTATCAACACCACCATCACTATACTATCACCACCACTCTTCTCACACACACACACACACACACACACACACACACACACACACACACACACACACACACACACACACACACACCATTAACCCGTCACGTATTTTTTGCACCATTCTGCATCTTGCACGAGGGGTGTGGTGTTGCAAAAAAGCGACAACTATTAGAAAAATGCTCTTGATTTCCTCTCTTCCTTCCTCCCTCCTCTCTTCCTCTCTTCCTTCCTCCCCACTCCTCTCTTCCTCTCTTCTTTCCTCCACTCCTCTCTTCCTTCCCTCCACTCCTCTCTTCCTCTCTTCCTTCCTCCCTCCTCTCTTCCTTCCTCCTCCTCTCTTCCTCTCTTTTCCCTCCTCCTCTCTTCCTCTCTTCCTTCCTCCTCCTCTCTTCCTCTCTTCCCTTCCTCCACTCCTCTCTTCCTTCCTCCACTCCTCTCTTCCTCTCTTCCTTCCTCCCCTCCTCTCTTCCTTCCTCCCTCCTCCTCTTCCTCTTCCTTCCTCCCTCCTCTCTTCCTCTCTTCCTTCTCCCTCTCTCTTCCTCTCTTCTTCCTCCCTCCTCTCTTCCTCTCTTCTTCCTCCCCTCCCCTCTCATCTTATTCTTCTTCTTATTATTATTATATTATCATCCTCATCTTTATTCTTCTTCTTCCACCTTCTCTCTATCTCTCCTCCTTCTCCTACATGAACTATCTACTCACGGTCCTCCTACAGACAGGTAATTACCATCTACAGGTGGTAATTGCGTGGTTGCCCCACCCCCACCCACACCACTGATTACGTCACAATCAATTATGTAGTTAAATTCCACCAATTAATAATAATAATAATGAGACAAACAGACAGACAGAGAGACAGACAGAGACATAGACAGACAGACAGACAGACAGACAGACAGACAGACAAAGCTATTAAAGTCAGGCTTCTCGGGTGATTGGTTAAGTGTGGCTAAAATGACCTCACTTGTTTGTTTGTTTATTTTAGTGATTTAAATTTCTTTATCACTTTAAGAACGAAAGACTTAAACCATCGTCCTCAAATGGTTAAACTATCGTCTTCAAGGGTTAAACCATCGTCCTCAAAGGTTAAACCATCGTCTTCAAAGGGTTAAACCATCCTCTTCAAAGGGTTAAACCATCCTCTTCAAAGGTTAAACCATCCTCTTCAAGTTAAACCATCGTCCTCAAATGGTTAAACTATCTTCTTCAAGGGGTTAAACCATCCTCTTCAAAGGGTTTAACTATCGTCTTCAAAGGGTTAAACCATCCTCTTCAAATGGTTAAACTATCTTCTTCAAGGGGTTAAACCATCCTCTTCAAAGGGTTTAACTATCGTCTTCAAATGGTTAAACCATCCTCTTCAAAGGGTTAAACCATCCTCTTCAAAGGGTTAAACCATCGTCTTCAAAGGGTTAAACCATCGTCTTCAAAGGGTTAAACCATCGTCTTCAAAGGGTTAAACCATCGTCTTCAAGGTGTTAAACCATCGTCTTCAAAGGGTTAAACCATCGTCTTCAAGGGGTTAAACACACAATAAACCAGACAGAGACAGGTACAGTACAGTAAGACGTAAATTACAAGTCATTACAGAAATGTTACATGAATATTTCCGGGTTACAGCGGCGGTACACAAAGCCACAGAGTAACAGTTGGCAGCCCTGTCATGTCTCTCAAGGTCGATGGTGATTGGCGGGCTAGGTTGGTACGCCTGACCAACATGGCGCCCGGGTCACATATGTAAACATTAGGTTAGGTTAGGTTAGGTTAGGTTTGGTTTTCAGGGATTCCATTCGTATTTATAAAAGAATCGATATAACAAGTTTCAGAACGTGTTACAAACGAGTATATTATTATGTTATGAACTGGTATATAACGTGACTAGACAGGGTGGTTAGATTAGGTTAGGTCAGGTGATGCCATGTTCAGTAAATACGATCATTAGCATTTCTTAAATTCTTGGTGATTCGAACATTAAAGAAAACGGAGACGAGAGATGGGGGAACTTAGATAAAACTTAACGTAAAACAAGAGATTACTGTCCCATGCATATATAGTGGCTGTCACGAGTGCTATTGGTTCTATGTATGTATGTATGTATGTATGTGTGTATGTATGTATGTATTTATATAAACTATGTATGTATGCCGTAGCTACTTCACTCCTGAGCAGTTGCTTCAAGTATATAAGGGATTCATTCGTCCTAACTTGGAGTACTGCTCTCATATCTGGGGTGGTTCTTCTTCTGTCCAACTGTTAGATAGGGTGGAATCAAAGGCATTTCGTCTTATTAACTCTCCTCCTTTAGTCGACAATCTCTCTTCCCTTTCTCTTCGCCACAATGTTGCTTCACTCTCTCTCTTTTACAGGTATTTTAACGGGCAATGTTCGGTGGATTTGGCATCCTGTGTACCGCCGGCAAGGCCGTGGGCTCGTAACACACGTCTTGCCCGCGGTGCCCACCGTTTCTATGTGGATGTTGGTCACTAAAATAACCCGTTATAGTACCTCCTTCTTTCCTCACACAGCCAAACTGTGGAATGCTCTGCCTTCTTCTGTATTTCCACACTCAATCTGTCTCACTTCAGAAGCTGGTTGTCCGGCATATTCGTTGTGTACATTAATATAACCTTTTACTTTTCTATTTTTAACTTCTTTCTATTCTTATTTTCTCGCCCCCCAGACCCCGTTGACCTATGCCTGGGTGGGCTAGTCCCCGTAAAATAAAGCCGCTTTACCTCGCTTCACCTAACCTAATCTAGCCTAACCTAACCTAACCTAACCTAACCTAACCTAGCCTAGCCTAGCCTAACCTAACCTAACCTAACCTAGCCTAGCCTAACCTAACCTAACCTAACCTAACCTAACCTAACCTAACCTAACCTAATGCCAGAAATTAAATCCCATGGCGAGCTTTTGATATCCTAGGAAATCCCTGTATTCAAATAAGGTCTTGGGGTCATCGGTTGGTATAAACATGTTTGTCTGGGAGGTCGGCCAGACAGGCAGGCGTCCCTCATCGACTCAGAGTGAAAAACAAACCTTGGGGAAGACTATTAGTAGGATGTCACTCAGGAGGGGCAGGATGTTACTCAGGAGGGGTAGGATGTCACTCAGGAGGGGTAAGATGTCACTCAGGAGGGGTAGGATGTCACTCAGGAGGGGCAGGATGTCACGCAGGAGTGGTAGGATGTCACTCAGGAGGGGTAGGATGTCACTCAGGAGGGGTAGGATGTCACTCAGGAGGGGTAGGATGTCACTCAGGGCAGGATGTCACTCAGGGCAGTATGTCACTCGGGAGGGGCGGTGTTATGACTGGTGGCTACGGACACAAAATAAAATTCAAATCTTTAAAAATATCCCAATTTTTTTATAACTCGGACATTAAATTATTGACTGAAAATAAACAATAAAATTAGATAACATGATTTAGGAGGCTTTATATAATTAATAATGCTTGTGGTAGTTAAATGTGGCATAATTAATCCGTAGAGTTTAATGATTTTGTATAATTTTTTTCTATAGGCTCGTAGTAATAATTATCAGACATTATCTCCCGCCAAAACTGTTTATTCTCACCGTAGTGCTTGTTGACATTAATTCCCGCCAAAATTTTGACCAATGAGCAACAGCTCATAAATGTAAACAAACACTGAAGAGAAAATTGGCGGGAAAAATAAAAAAAATTCTGAGTTTATTTCCTCAATATAATTTTTAGGCCTATTTTAAGTAACTGATTATCATACAAGTTTTCACGTTGACAGACACACATACACCTGACAACACAGAGGTAATAATAATAATCTTACCTGTGATGCGAGCGTAAAGACTCCACCTCAAATTTAAGTCCAGTTCCAATAGGCCCGAGTCTTATCCTAGCTAAATGGCCTACCAGTTCCTAATAGCCCCTAAACTAACCTAGTGGACCCTTATACCTCATATTCCCTATAATCTTAAAAGGTTATGTTAGGTTATAGAGGAACTGTGGCCACAGGAGCTTACACACTCTTCTCTCCCGCACTCCCTCTCACCCCCCCCCCTCTCAGAACTACTCTCCCCACCACACACCCCCCACTCACCCACACCCCTCACCCACCCACACCCCACCCACCCACACCCCCCACCCACCCACACCCAACACTCCACACCACCCCCACCCCACCCACACCCCACCCACCCACACCCCACCCCACCCACACCCCCACCCACCCACACCCACACCACCACCCACCTCACCCACCCACACCCCTCACCCACCCACACCCCCACCCACCCACACCTCACTCCACTCCACACCCCTCACCCACTCCACCCTTCTCACCCACCACCCACACCACCCCACTCAACCCACACTCTCTCCCCCAGCATGATGAAAGCAGCGGCCACCTGTACATGGCTGGGTGACCTGGTGACTGCCCTGATAGTGACGGACATGATGCTCCAGGATAACCTCTACCCCCACTGGGCCAAGGGCTTCCGTCGCCTCTACAGGATCTCAAATATCCCCAGGATCCTTATCTTCTGGTGTGGCTCTATCGTCGTGGCTGTCATCGTTATCTTTCTCATCGTCTCGGATTATATCTCGTGGGATCAACTCAATAAAGGCTTCGTTGAGACTACAGGTGAGTCAGGGTGTGGTGTGGGGGTGTGGGTGTGGTGTGGTGGGTGTGGTGTGGTGTGGTGTGGTTGTGGTGTGGTTGAGATGGATGGATAGATAATTTTGATATTAATTCTATTTTTCATCGTTTATTCTCTCGTTAACATTTCTTCCTCTTTATTTCTACTCTCTCTCTCTCTCTCTCTCTCTCTCTCTCTCTCTGTAACCCAAACACACATACACACTCACGCGCACCTACGTCTAATTTGCCTCGGGTATACATATATATTACACACATATATGTATAACCACTCCTTTATACATAGGTAAACACCCTTAATGGCGATGGGGGATGACCATAAACAACGATGATGTCACCATTTTGCGATAAAGAAGTCCTGACTCAGCCGTTCTGGCAAGGATGACGCCCTTCTTACGCTCAACGGGGGTCGTAAACAGCGATGGATAGCCACTAAACGCTCTCCAATTTTCCCGGGAAATAACCAACCAATTAGCGAGCTCCGATTACATGACGTCATGAGATTCTTTTTTGGCCAGCGTTGCCCTCTGATTGGCCAGTACGTGACTGAGATAGGGGCAGCATGGCAGATGTATGATGCCTTTGAAACAGCGTGGATTAGTGGAAAGTTGAACAGATAAAATGTTAAATAAATATATATAATTATTCAGAAATTATTATAATATAGGGGAATATATGTACTAAGACTTCCATTGATATTAATTACAAAGAAAAATACGAATTGTAATAACATAGATGCCATATTGACCAGACACCTTAACTTTAACCAGACAAAACTGACGCCCCCAACAACGTTCACCGGAAGTCCAACACACGATACAGTACATATCCCCGAACACTATATTCCCCCGCCTTTAGAGTTAAATAAATCAGCCTCGAGATTGGCGTCCGTATGTATGTATGTCAAAGGTCAAGGTCAAGGGGGGCGTGGCCGTAGTCGTGTTTACATTAGACAAGGGAGATAACCTTACTCTACCTGCCTACCTGCCTGCCTGCCTGCCTGCCTGCCTACCTGCCTGCCTGCCTGCCTGCCTGCCTGCCTGCTACAGTAGTCTGCATGTTGTGGTAACCCGGAAGTAAGCCACCTAATACTTCATTGATTTATCAGGAAAATGTTGTGGATTGATTGTGGTGTCAGCCTCCCCCTGACCCCCCTCCCCCTCACCCCTTCCCCCTCACCCCTTCCCCCTCACCCTTCCCCCCTACCTTGATGCTGCCAATGTGTGTGCGTGCGGAGGGGTGTTGGTGTGTGTGGAGGGGTAGGGGGTCTTGTGTGTGTGTGTGTACAGGTGACAGTTCCATATACCTTCCACCTGGTAAACCTACTTTGGGGAACATCAACACACACACACACACACACACTCACACACACACACACACACACACACACACACACACACACACACACACACACACACACACACACACACACACACCTAATAGCCTCACCTTAGTCTCTAATAGTCTTACCTACGTCCATGAGGGGCCCAGGGAACAGAACTTAGCATGATCCTGGGCCCCAAGTTCCCACCAGACGTGTGTAAAGGGCCCCAACTCAACCCTGTCAATAATCTTACGTATTGTTCTTGTTATTTGCACTTATCGTGAACTTGTCTGGTATGTGTGTAGCGTATCAAGGTGTGTGAGGAGGGAGGGAGGGAGGGGAGGGAAGGAGAGAGAGGGAGGGAGGGGAGGGAAGGAGAGAGAGAAGGGAGGGGAGGGAAGGAGAGAGAGAAGGAAGGGGCTGCATTAGTGAATGGTAATCGATTACTACCTAACGTCTGAAGTTCACCCTCAGGAATGTGTGGAGGTAGTATAGCCTTCAGGTGCCTGGATGATGGACAAACAGCTTAGGTTTGGTTACGTTAGGTTAGGTTAGGTTTGGTTTGGTTTGGTTAGGTTTGGTTAGGTTAGGTTAGGTTTGGTTACGTTAGGTTAGGTTAGGTTAGGTTAGGTTAGGTTTGGTTACGTTAGGTTTGGTTACGTTAGGTTAGGTTAGGTTTGGTTACGTTACGTTAGGTTTGGTTACGTTAGGTTAGGTTTGAGTGAGACATTCATCATGGCCCCTCCAGCTGTGGCCAGGGAACTAAGGTCATATTTTACAGACGTCGAGTCATTTTTTCCTTTCCTCACCCTTGTTACGTCTCCAGGTTATTGCTGAAGGAATATTTATGTTGTTTCTCTATTTAGCTGAACTTGGCAGAAATGATTGTTGTGTGTGTGTGTGTGTGTGTGTGTGTGTGGTAAGGAGATGGAGGAAGGAAGGAAGGAAGGGGTAGGAAAGGGGTGAATGAGGTAGAGGGATGGGAGCAGGGGAGGAGGAAAGGAAGGGAGAGATTGAGCAAGTGAGTAAAGGATGGAAGGGAGAAGGGATGAAGGAAGAGGGGAAGGAAGGAGTGAGCGAGGGAGCTTGAGTGGTTGTGGATTGGTAAATCTGGGCCCACCCTCTCTCCTCTCAAAGGCTAAACGAGTAAAATGACCTCCTCCTCCTCCCTCCCTCCCCCTCCTCCTCCCATGGTCACTTCCTCCTCCCCTCCCTCCTCCCCTCCTCCCCCCCTCCCCCTCCTCCTCCAGCCTCCACCATGAAGCCTGTTTGACTGTAGTAAATATTTCACGTGGTTTCTATTCCATTAGTCGATGGGTCGCCTACCTGAAACGACCCTGCCTCCACACACACACACACACACACACACACACACACACACACACACACACACACACACACACACACACACACCTTATCAGCCTCTGTGTGCGTGTGTGTATATATATATGTATGTATGTTATCTTACAAACACGTATTAATAATCATGCCTTAATCCTTCCCTAACTTAACCTAACCTAACCACACAATACACTGTCTAAGGTGAGAGACACAGGTACTAATTAGCCAAAGGTGTGCAACAGGTAAATGAGATTGTGAGAAAGGAAAACAAAATATTTAAAGAGATAGATTGATAAATAAAAGTTAGATAAGATAAAAAATATGAGTATAGAAGAGTTAAGAGACTCATTGGTCAGGTCAGGTCAGGTCAGGTCAGGCTTGTGTTAGAGTCAGGTCAGGTCAGGTCAGGTCAGGTCAGGTCAGGCTTAGTAGATAGAGAGTTATTGAAGAAGGAAGACAACCAGGTAAAGACAGGAGAGATAGCGGGGCGCCCTAGGTGGGCTGGGACCACACAGGTGAGCTGCCGCACATTAGGCTTTCTGACTTCACTCCTGACCACTGGGTTACCATTTACCGCCAGTTAGATTTGGTTAGGTTAGGTTAGGTGAGGTTAGGAGAGTTTGATGGGGATTAGGTTAGGTTAGGTGAGGTTAGGTTAGGCTTGGTTAGGTTAGGTGAGGTTAGGAGAGTTTGATGGGGATTAGGTTAGGTTAGGTTAGATTAGGTTAGGCTTGGTTAGGTTAGGCTTGGTTAGGTTAGGCTTGGTTAGGTTAGGAGAGTTTGATGGGGGTTTTCTTATAATTTGTGATGGTCTTAACTGGTTGTGTGTGTTTTGAGATATTCGTGCTTGTCGTTTTGTGAGGATCTACCAGTGTGTGGGCGGTTGGGGGTGACTTATAAATAACTGGGAGGAACCAATTACAACTGGACTGACTGACTGACTGACTGGGTATCTTCCTCTTGGCGTGAGGAGCAGGTGCCACATGCGTCAGGAGATCCAAACATACCTGATACGCACGATTGGCCTCCTCCTCCTCCTCCTCCTCCTCCTCCTCCTCCTCCTCCTCCTTCCTCCTCTTCCTTCCCCACGGGCACCTATCACGATCCCGACGCCCATTGTAGCACGTAGGTGTAGGCTTTCTGCAGCATTCTCTCTCTGGCATCGGGGCGGGTCGATGTGTGCCGCCTCCAGCTCCTGGGTACTCTAACCAAGCGGCGGGTGTTTCCTTCCTGCCGCAACACCTTCGTGATAACCAGGAGACACCTCGTCAATATTCTGTGTCGCTTCTCTCTTGCTTTCATCAGGCGGAAATGAGACGAAGGGCGCCGCCAACTGTAATACGAGGGGGAAGGAGGGGGTGAAGAGGGTCGGTGTGTGAGGGATGGGGGGGTGAAAAATGTCTAGAAACGAGCTGGAAATGATTGTCGTCTTAGATAAGTCGTTATTAATCTCCAACAGACACACGCAGATGAATTGAGAGGGCGACGTGTACCTGAGCTCCGGAGGTTTGACACTGAGGTGATTGGCAATATGCTGGGTACTTTATTCCTCGTGGTAGGGGGAGGGGGTGGGGGGGAGGGGTTAAGTGACGTCAACAGGAGGTATTGGTAAGCAGCGACCCTTGGCAGTATTTTGAAATGGAGTTATGATAGCGTGAGAGGGAGGGGGAGGGAGGGGGTGAGGTGCTGGTTGGTACCTGTTGATATTAGGAAACAGGTTAGAGAGCAGCTCACCTCCTTCAGGATTTCTCTCTCTCTCTCTCTCTCTCTCTTTTAACACCTGATCAAATGAGTGTCTGTCGTGTTTATTGTTATTTTATGTTAGTCTGACATTTTAACTTTGTTTCATGTTCATATAATATAATCACAGCTCCATTCAGAAAAATCATGACAGGCGCTGTGATTCCCTCTGCCTGTACCACACTTCAGAGTTGTAAATAAGACACAAAAACAAATGACGATCGCAATAAACTTCATAAAAAGTATAAATGACAGACAAAAAACAAGTGAAGATCGCAATAAACTCCATAAAAAAGTATAAATAACAGATAAAAACATATGACGATCGCAATAAACTCCATAAAAAGTATAAATGACAGACATAAACAAATGACGATCGCATAAACTCCATAACAGTATAAATAAGGCACATAAACAAATGACTATCGCAATAAACTCTATAATAGTATAAATGACACAGAAAGACAAATGACGATCGCAATATAATCCATAACAGCATAATTAAGACACAAAAACAAACGACGATCGCAATAAAACCCCATAAAAATTATAAATAACTGACACATAAACAATTAACGATCACAATAACGAACTCTCAATCCGTTTATGAATCCATTACGTATATATCTCGCCTCACGGTGGTGTTAGTGGTGGTGGTGGTGGTTGTAGTGGTGTCAGTGACCTAGAGGATAATACCTGACCTCTGTGATAATGATGATGATGATATTAGTAGCGGTGATAATGATGATGATAATGATGTTAGTAGCGGTGATAATAATGATGATAATGATGTTAGTAGCGGTGATAATAATGATGATAATGATGTTAGTAGCGGTGATAATGATGATGATAATGATGTTAGTAGCGGTGATGATAATGATGATAATGATGTTAGTAGCGGTGATAATAATGATGATAATGATGTTAGTAGCGGTGATAATGATGATAATGATGTTAGTAGTGGTGATAATAATAATGATGATAATGATGTTAGTAGCGGTGATAATAATAATGATGATAATGATGTTAGTAGCGGTGATAATAATGATGATAATGATGTTAGTAGCGGTGATAATAATGATGATAATAATGTTAGTAGCGGTGATAATAATGATGATAATGATGTTAGTAGCGGTGATAATGATGAAAATAATAATAAGGATCTATATACAAATAATAACATACATTTAATATTATAGAAATTCTCAAATAATTTCTCACATGTCTTAGTTACCTGTAGGAAATATAATAATCTCCTGTATTACCTGTAGAACGACTTACCTGTCTACAGCGGTGATTAAGGTGCTACATGAAAATACAGCTATATAATTAAGGACTTGGACCAGGTATATGTAGTCCTTTTTTGTTCTTTATTTCATATTTTTATTCATTTTTTCCCATTATTTGGCTTTTCGTGTGTGTGTGTGTGTGTGTGTCTGTGTGTGTGTGTGTGGTGCAGCAGAAGGAAACGACTCAACAATACAGACACACACACGCACACACACACACATACACACACTCACACACACACACACACCACACACACACCACACACACACTCACACACACACGCACACACACTCACACACCACACACACACACACACACACACACAGGGAGGGTCTTTGTACCTGCCATGTCTTTGTGTGCTGTGGGTGGAGGCAATATTTGTCTTATTCACCTGCGTTCGATGCAGGTGTTGGACGCCCTGTGTGTGTGTGTGTGTGTATGTTCGCGGGTCTAAGGGCGTTTGTGTGTGTTTGTTTATGTGTGTATATATGTGTTTTGTGTGTCCAGGTCATTTGAGTGAGTTAATGATTTATAAACGTGTGTATGACTTAAGCTGTGTGTACGTGGCTTCAATTGTGTGTGTGTGTACGTATGAACCGAGGTCAATCATTAACTAACACCAAGCCTCCTCCTCTCCTCTCCCCACATACACACGCATACACTTCCTACTTCAGGGGTCATATTTTATACTAATTTCTTTCTGGTTTTGGTTAGGTTAGGTTTTGGTACTGGTAGGTTTGGTTAGGTGGTAGTGGTGGTGGTAGTGATAGTATTGATAATGGTGGTGATGGTAGTAGTCGTGGTGGTGATGGTGGTGGTAGTAGTAATGCTAGTGGTAATGGTAGCCGTGTTAATGGTAGTAGTGGTAGTCGTGGTGGTGATGGTGGTGGTAGTAGTAATGCTAGTGGTAATGGTAGCCGTGTTAATGGTAGTAGTGGTAGTCGTGGTGGTGTTAGTAAGTAGTGGTAGGTCGTGTTGATGGTGGTAGTTGTGGTGGTAGTAATTGTTCCTTTGTCTACACGCTATTCTATTTCTGGACCCACAGTGAAATTATTATTATTATTATTATTATTATTATTATTAGTAGTAGTAGTAGTAGTAGTAGTAGTAGTAGTAGTAGTATTACCGATCTCTTACACAATACACACACACACACACGCGCCTTGTTTATATAATTATATATATATATCCTTTTCAAATCACAAGTTATATACATCAGGAAATTTAAGAAACTCGAACGCCACTCCGTAATTATCGAACTCGAACGCCATAATTTTATTGAGTTTTCTATGTGAGATTAATTTACATAGAAACTCCTTCGTGAACTTCCTTTGCGTCTATTTAGTCGTAAGTTTGTGAGGGGAAAAAATATCGTAAGTTATGGTCAGAAGTTTGGATTAAGTTTATTTATTCTGTCTGGAAGGCTTGAGTACGAATTTATCAATATTTAGAAAACGTATGCCTGGGTGGTGTGTAGAAATGTATGCCATGGTGATATTGTTATAGAAAACGTATGCCTGGGTGGTGTATAGAAATGTATGCCATGGTGATATTGTTATAGAAAACGTATGCCTGGGTGGTGTATAGAAATGTATGCCATGGTGATATTGTTATAGAAAACGTATGCCTGGGTGGTGTATAGAAATGTATGCCATGGTGATATTGTTACAGAAAACGTATGCCTGGGTGGTGTATAGAAATGTATACCATGGTGATATAATTATAGAAAACGTACAACTTGATGATACAAAGAGAGCGTAATCTTTTCCATGGTAAACTTAGCAAACTGTCATTAAACACGTCCATTCCTCCTCTGTTATCCTCACCAACACAGAGCTCTCCCGGGCGTTTCTGGCATCCTTCATCCTGGTTATGGACTTACTGATAGTGATGCAGGATTGGGACTTCCCTCACTTCACCTCCACCATCGACGTGAACCTACCTGGCTTCTCCACCCACATCCTGCAGTGGAAGTACGCCCAGACCTCCGTCACCGGGAAGTGGTTCAACTACGGCATCATCTTCCTCGTCATGATCCTCGACCTCAACATGTGGAAGAACCAGATTTTTTATAGTCCTGCCCCCTACGGTCAGTACATAGGTAAGTGTCGTCACCTTACGGTCAGTGCATACTTTAACTTTTATCCTCTTCACCACTAATCGGCTCGTTAGCCGCTTGGGCGATCGGTCACGTCTGTGTTACGCACTATTGGCAAGTACTGGGCATGCACTGGCTCCTGAATGTACCTGAACCTGTTCCAGTGTTGGTCAAGTCTTGTCTTGAAAGAGCTCGCACTCGGTGCCATCACAACACTCTCTGGTAGATTGTTCCAAGAGTTCACAACTTTCACTCCGAAAAAGTTTGCCCTCACAGTTTTCTGGACTTGCGGCTTCTTCAATCTTGAGCTGTGACCCCTTGTGGGGCGAGCGTCCGCCAGCTGCAAGTAAGGACACTCGACTGAGTAGTGCCCCCTGAGATGCTTATATACCTCAGTTAGGTCCCCCCTTGCCCGTCTGTAGTATTAGCTAGGTAAGTTCAGGCGCTCCTATCTCTCAGGGTAGTTGAGGTGCCGAAGTGCAGGCACCAGTCTGGTGGCCCTCCTTTGAACATTTTCAGCCAACTGACAGTCCCTAGCATATCTCGGGGACCAGACGGGGTGACAGTGTACTGCGCACATCATTATCATTCCTAAAAACCCACTTTAATTCATATTACGCTACATAACATTCAAATCCAAAGTGGGTTTTTAGGAATGACAATGATCTGCACAGTACAACAGTACTCCAGATGGGGAAGCACTTCACTCTTGAAGATCGTTACGAGGGACGGACCGTCTAGAATCTAGATATCTGAACGACCTTCTTATAAGACCCAATAATTTATTTGCCTGATTTACCTTCTTCTCGCAATGGCCCGAAAACTTCAGCTCATTGTCAATATACACACCTAGGTCCTTCTCACATTCAGTCTCAAATAGTGCAGTTTCTTCATCCCGTTGGGACATATGATACGCCTCCTTACCGTTGGTATGCCCCAGGTGCATCCTCTTACACTTCGTGACATTGAATCTCAGCAGCCATTCTTCGACCATTTTTGGTGCCCACAGAGGTCTTTCTGCAGCTCTTCACAGTCCGCTTGGTTCTCCCGAAATAACTTGGCGTCATCGGCAAACATTTGTATGGAGGAGTGTACAACGTCAGGCATGTCATTTATAAAATAAACAAACAACAGTGGGCCCAATACACTGCCTTGTGGTACCCCGCTTGTGACAGGTACGGATGATGATTTCGTACCATTAATCACCACACACTGCTTGCGGTCATGTAGAAAGTCTTCTATCCACACTATGACATTTCCCCGAATTCCTTACCCTTTCAGTTTGATTTTCAGCCTTTCGTGGGGTACACTGTCGAAAGCCTCGGCAAAAGCTAGGTAAATATTGTCGATATTACCACCCCGTACCAGAATATGGGTCCAAATATCCATTACCTTGAGCAATTGTGTTAAGCAGGAGCGCCCCGGCATAAAACCGTGTTGGCAATCCTTTACAAGGTTGTTTCGTAGTAGATGTTCCATCGCGGCATCTCTGATAATACTCTCAAGTACTTTACATATTATGCTGGTCAGGCTCACCGGTCTATAGTGACGATCGCCCTTCTTGAAGATAGGACTCACATAAGCCACTTTCCATTCACTGGGGACCTTTCGTTCATCCAGGCATTTACAAAATAGGATCTTCAGGGGCTCGGCAAGCTCGTTGCTCAACTCTCTTAGCACTCTAGGATGCACCATGTCAGGGCCGGGACTCTTATGGACCTTTAGCTTTGACAGTTTATTTCTAATACCCTCTTCATAGGTAGGTGTCGTACCCCTATGGTCAGTACATAGGTGAGTGTCGTCCCCTACGGTCAGTACATAGGTAAGTGTCGTCCCCTACGGTCAGTACATAGGTGAGTGTCGTCCCCCTACAGTCAGTACATAGGTGAGTGTCGTCCCCTACGGTCAGTACATAGGTAAGTGTCGTCCCCCTACGGTCAGTACATAAGGTAAGTGTCGTCCCCCTTACGGTCCAGTACATAGGTAGTCGTCGTCCCCTACGGTCAGTACATAGGGGAGTGTCGTACCCCTATGGTCAGTACATAGGTGAGTGTCGTCCCCCTACGGTCAGTACATAGTCAAGTGTTGTCCTCTACGGTCAGTAATAATAAAAGTACCAGCCTTAGTAGCAGTAGAAGTAATAGTAATAGCAGTTGAAGAAATAATAATAGCCGTAGTATTCGTAATAGTAATTATGATACACTAGCAGCGTTAGGTCCCCTGGCGGCAGTCATAAACAACACCCAGGCCCGCACGGTGTCGCCTCCAGAGTTTTGTTCGCTAAATTTACTTCACATGTTACGGCGCCAAATGAGTGTGTGTGTAAATTTTGAGGTGAAATATTTCCCAGCGATAGAACGTATACCGTGAGAGTTACGCTAGTTCTTCTACGACATGTTGTATTTTTTAGTCGTAGCTACAAGGCTGCTATAAGTATTCATTACTGGTCAATATATTGGTGTAATGTGTATTTTTTATTATTATTATTATTATTATTATTATTATTATCGCCATTATTATTATTGTATTAATATTATTTATTATTATTACTTCAGTGAAATTACGACTACAGGTTGGTAGGGATTTTAAAATTAAATATTCTCAGTAATAATTTTAACGCTCATAAATATTCCCGCGCCCACTGCTGCCATCATCACTTTCCTCGTTTTGTTAATATATCATAAAGTTATACATTTTCTCTATTACTCTTGTGTAATGAGTAAACATTGAATTTATTGAGAATTACAATATGAGATTTGAAAACAGTTTTAAATGGTGTTATTGGGTTGTATTCCTTTATGTCAACGGAAGAAATACTTATTTATCTATCTATCTATCTATCTATCTATCTATCTATCTATCTATCTATCTATCTATCTATCTCTATTTATCTCCTGTATATCTTCACCTCTCTGCCTTAAAAGGGATAGCATAGTATCCCCTCAACGTGGACCATTTTCTTTGATTGCCTTTCATATTCCGCCTAATCGACAAGTTCCTCATTTTCACATGTTTCCACAGATCCCAACAGCAGGAATGTGTACTCCGTGGAAGATCCGATTTTCGTAAACGAGAATAACGAGACGGAGTGGTCGTGGGAAGCCCGATCTCGTATGGACAATGAAACAGGAAGGCCTTATAGAGAACGTAAGAGCTGCTTCGGAGTGTTTTAAGGGTGACTTGTTTAAATTGGTCTGGGGGGGGTTGGGGAGACGGGCGAGTAAGGGGTAGAGTTAAGTCTTTTCGTTTATCTGTGTTTTCTTTATTGTTTCTTAATTTTGTATTTATTTTTTCTTCAGTTGTATTATTTTATGATTTTTCCTTCTTTCTGCATATTTATTCTTAGTCTTCTTTCTTCCTTCATTGAATATTTGTCTTTCTTTATAGAGTTTTCGTCATTATTGTTTTATTATATAAGGCTGTTATTAATATTATTATTATTATTATTATTATTATTATTATTATTATTATTATTATTATTATTATTATTATACGGAACACAGTCATTGGTACTGGCTATGTTAGAATTAAGCTAACGTAAGGTAGAACAGGCAGGTTAATTTAGGATAAGGTAAACGTTTTAATTACAGGGGAGAATTTTGGCTCCTACAAGCGCATCTTCAAGGTCGATCTGTCTCGTGTGTGTGTGTGTGTGTGTGTGTGTGTGTGTGTGTGTGTGTGTGTGTGTGTGTGTGTGTGTGTGTGAAACTCCTTAATCTTCCTTCTCCCTTGCACTCTTTGCTCTCATTTATCTTCCTGAGTATTTCCCTTATATCTTCCTTCCCTTCTCCTCCTCCTCCCCCCCTCCCTTCCTCTCTCTCCCCCCCTCCCCCTCCCCTCCCCCACCATACATCTCGGCCCTCCTACCTTCCCAGGAGACCATTCGTTCTTCCTGGGCTTCAATGCATCTCCGTAAAGTCTCTCTGTCTCTTCCAACCATTGTTTCTTCGTCAGGGTGCTCCTCTTCCTCCTCCTCCTCCTTAACCTCCCTCAGTCCTCCTCCTACTTTACCTTTCTCCTCCTCCTCCTCCTCCTCCTCCTCCCTCCCTCATCCTCCTCTTGCCTCTCCTCCCTACTTCCTCTTTCTGCTCTTTCTTCTCTTCCTCCTCTCCCTACCCCTCTCTTCCTCTTCCTCCTCTTTACCTCCGTCCTCCCCTCCTCCTGTACCTTCTTCTCCTCCTCCTCCTCCTCCTCCTCCCTCCTCCCCTCCTTCCTCTCTTGATCTCCTTTTACTTCTCCCATTACCATTTTTCATAACTTCCGTCTTCCACTTCACCCATCATCTCCCCCTCCTCATCCCCCCTCCATCATCTCCCCTCCCTCATCCCCTCCCTCATCCCCTCCTCATCCCCCTCCCTTGACACCCGCCAGATGTGATTTGGCAGCATCCACGCTTATGGGGGTAACACGTACCCTGATTGGTCCATTTCCATCATGACGTAGTCGAACTGATTGATCCATCGTCCCCAGGATGTGTGCTGATTGGTCATTGGCTCTCATGGCGCGTGGTGATTGGTCCTTGATTTTCATAGTGTGTTGGGATTGGTCGTCGAGATGAGAGTTTAAGGGAAAAGAAGAAATAAATGGGGAAAAGGAGAGAGAAGGGAAGAAAGAAGACAAGTGGTGAAAGGTTGAAAAGGCAGAGAGAGAGAGAGAGAGAGAGAGAGACCGACCCTATAGATGCACTTGAGGTCTCTGGGTTCATTCGACGCCATTTGCATCAGCTGTTCTCGTAACCAAACGCACACACATACACTCTCTCTCTCTCTCTCTCTCTTCCTCTCTCTTTCAAAAGCCACTTTCTTTCTTTCTTTCTTTTTTTCTCTCTCGGGATAAATGTGGCTGCCATTTATTTCTTGCAAGGGAGGGGAGGGGAGGAGACTGACCTGGGAAAAGAAATGCTTTGATGGATTCCAGTTTAGGTGAGGTTAGGTTAGGTTAGGTTAGGTTTAGTTAGGTTAGGTTTAGTTAGGTTAGGTTAGGTTAGGTTAGGTTAGGTTAGGTTAGGTTTAGTTAGGTTAGGTTAGGTTAGGTTAGGTTAGGTTAGGTTAGATTAGGTTAGGTCAGGTAAATCATAACATCAACTGCCTTAATAATACGTACTCACTCAAACACTGAGTACAGTACTAACTCACCACATTACATTACAGAGGATATGTTCATGTACTCACGCTACATGGGGTACAGTCTGTGGGTCAAGTGTACAGCATTCATCCCTAACATCCTTGGCTTCGTCATGCTCTTCACGCTCGTCTCCCTCTACGGACGCTTCCCGCCTACCCAGGTTAGAGGTGTGCCAGAACGCGGGAAGAGTTGGTGTGGTTGTCTGGGTGAGAAGTGGCAACGTTGTGTGGGTGAGAAGTGGCAACATTGTGTGGGTGAGAAGTGGCAAAATTGTGTGGGTGAGAAGTGGCAACATTGTGTGGGTGTGACGTGACAACATTGCGTGGGTGTGACGTGACAACATTGTGTGGATGAGAAGTGGCAACATTGTGTGGGTGAGAAGTGGCAACATTGTGTGGATGAGAAGTGGCAACATTGTATGGGTGAAGTGGCAACATTGTGTGGTGAAGTGGCAACATTGTGTGGATGAGAAGTGTAAGGTGTGTGGGTGAGAAGTGGCAACATTGTGTGGGTGAGAAGTGGCAGCATTGTGTGGGTGAGAAGTGGCAGCATTGTGTGGGTGAGAAGTGGCAACATTGCGTGTCTGTGACGTGTCAATACAACCTTCACCTTGATTGGCTAGACGGCATCACAGTCATTGTTTTGAAGACCAAATAAATGAAGCACCGTAGCGCAAGAATATATATTAAATGTTTTTATTTACGTGTTGCACTGCTCCTAAATAAATAATGCACCATTAAGTGATCACAGCAACTGCACCTAATAAGTATTGGTTTTATTTCTGATATGATCGTGTGTGTAATAATAATAATAATAATAATTAGCGGTTTATTGAAAGAGCATATGCAGTTACATAATTGAGGAATGGGTGTGTGTGTGTGTGTGTGTGTGTGTGTGTGTGTGTGTGATACTGACATCCATCTCTGTTTACAAAATACTGCATGACGTGGGTTGACCTTGTGGTTGATCTGAAGTAGTGAGTATCAGTTAGAAATTGACATTATTATTATTATTATTATTAGTATTAGTATTATTAGTATTATTAGTATTATTATTATTCGTGTTTGAGATGACTGACGTGCACAGATGAATGAATTTATAAACATCGATATTTGGGGGCTTTTTGAAGGCAATGTTTGTTATGGATGTTGATGTAAGTGTTGTGTTAATTATATATAGTTTGTTTTTGCTTTGTTAATTGGTTTGTCGCAGGTGTGAGAAACGGGATCTTGTTATGGATGAACTAAACACCTATTTTCAGCTTAATTAATCCCAGGTAACGATGGCGAAGGGTAATTGCGTATTTATAAGTGTGATATAAAAAAAACTATCATTCGTAAATTTTTCAAAGAGATTTTATTTGCTCGAGTTACTCCCCCTAGTGAGTTCAACCTGTGCTTTACCTCAACTAAAACTTCTACAGCTTTTATTTTTGTTATTAATTATTATTATTTTTGGGGGGTTGCTCACTTGTCGTAATCCAAGTTTATCTTCCAGCCTGAACACATATCTGCATGCACTCTTGGAGCATACCTGTATAATGAGCAACCATACCTCACGCGCCAAATTATTCTCCCCGACAGCACACTTGTTTTGCTTTCCTGTTAGGTTTCACGTCACGAGTGTTTTGCTGCCCAGGATTCAGTACCATGGAATGAGGTCACTGTTTTGGGGTCACCATGTTTGTTGTCAAGTCATGTTACACACGCACTTGCAATATTACACACTTGAAACGCATAACCATATCCTTTAACTAATAATTATAATATTTTTCGTGAAAGTAAACAATAAATTATCCTACCTAGTTGAAGTCTAGAGAGTGTCTATTGGTTGAGACCTCGCTAACACATGTGGCCATAAAGTATTTGTCGCCATCTGAGTTATAACTTGGGTCTGTGTTGTTCCTTGTAAACGTGACATTACGCTGTTGGAGTCATTATGTGTATGTGTGTTACTTCGGTGCTCGGCAGATATCCCACACTTCTTCTGTAATTAAATAGTAATCAGTTTAAAATTAATAACTTAAATTCAATAAAAGAACAAAATTGGCAGAGAACAAAGTTATTAGTGACGTTAATGGTACTGGATCCGGGCAATTTATATTATTTTATTTTATTAGTGCAATTTTATATATGAAAAATGGGCTCATTCTGAATCTAAAGACAATAGAGGTCATTATTTATCTTCTTCAATTGGCTGGGAAAGTGAAAGTGCATCATCTCTTTGTTTACATAGTCAGTCAGTCGGGTGTGTAGAGATGCTACCTATAAAACAGTAATTCTGAATGCTTTATATTTAATTATTGTAGTGTTCTGGGGAGGGCTAATTAATAATACTTATATAATCCTATAGAACCTGATCATTATAACTCACCTGGAGATGGATTTTCACTTCACCTGTCAAATTATACAATGAGTATAATTATATATCTATGATCCCTTGAACTTCTTGTGTTGTGTTGTCTTAAAGTAAATTGTTCACTGTAGGACGAACCCTGTAGATCTGTAGATGATTAATACTGAATCAAATGTTCCAGAGCTTCTTATATAAATTTCATATGACAATAAAAAGTTGTAAATACAGGGTTTATATCTCTCTATAATGGGAGGAAAAAGAAATTTACTTGACAAGTGCATTAATTTTGTTCATTTGTACTTGTGTTTACTGTCAGATGTATCAGAATAAGCTTAACATTGGTCAGGATGTGTGTGTGTGTGTGTGTGTGTAGTGAGGGAGATGGTATAAATCCCCCTCTGTGCCTCCCCCTTCCCTCCTTGTTCCCCCTCACCACCCACGCCCTTACACCATCTCTCACCGTATATTCGTCTCTTCCTCCCACGCCCACCAGTTGCATCACCAAGGCTCGCACACCACCACACAACACTCGAAGCCCCTGAGTTTGGGCAACGTGTGTGTGTCCGTCAGGTCTGCTACTATATACTCTTTATAGTGGTCTTGAGTCTATTAGCCTGAGCCTCTTAGTCAAAAAAAAAAAACCAGCCCTCCTTCCCTCTTAGTATCAAAACCCTCCCTAGAGAGATGCCTTTCGTCCCTCACCTACTCCATCTCCCCCTCAACCTTCATTGTCAGAAGCTTTTTATATCATGCCTACTACTACCTCTTCTAGCTCCCACCCTAGAGTCTTGGTTCCTCTTAGCTAGTGAGCCACACACCGGGTCCCCTCAGGTGGATGAGAGGAGAGGCAATCGTTGGCGTGGGTGTGAGCTACCCCATCTAGACGTAAAGCAAAACTTGCCCTAACTAACATATCATCTTATTGTTGTTATAAAGAAGTTAATTACTCATTGTTTTTTATTCTAAAGTATGATGGTCTTAACCCAGATGCCGTCGAATTGCCTTTCCTGTGCTTGTCCTCTGCCGTGTGTTGGGGAACCCGCGGTAGGAGTGTCTTAGTGGAAGGACGCTATGAGTTAGTCAGTTACCTTTATCCCAGCTGCAAGTCTGTGCATGTCCGTCAGTAGCTTGAGTTGCTGGCACTTTTGCATGATCAGAATTGCAGAATGTTAGGGGTAGATTAGTGTTGGAAATTCCCTGATGCATGTCACCAGATTCCTTGGGTTGTATGTTTAAAAAAAAATCCTTTGTTTTTTGGGATTGTTTTTTCTTCTGCTGTTTAGAGTTTTATTTTTGTGAATTTTGTAGATGACATGAAAGATATTTTGTATCTTTTCTTTAGTTTTTTATTAAGGTTAAAATTTTGTTTTGTGTTTGTGTCGTCACTTTCGCTGAGCATGTGTGAAGATGACGGATAGCACCCCAGCACCTTGTCTCGCCCTGGTCGCTGATGGTGCCTAAATCCCATCGCTGCCACCATCACCGCGATCGCCGCTATCAGTGATTCTTGATCAGCGACTGTTAGTGACTCAGCCACAAGATTGATCATCATTAGTAATTCCTGATCACTATTTGCTGATGGTGACTGACCTTTTGATTACAAACTTAATCAATGATTAATTATCACCAATTCTTCACCACAGGCTGTTGGTGACCTCTAGACCATCACTTGGAGTTCTGTTGGGAGGTCACCTTACCCCACCCACTGCAGGATCCTACATCATGTGACTTTAATATTATGAATATGTCCCCTCCTCTCCCCCTCTCCATTTTCTCCCACTCCCCTCATGGTATAGCATTTATTATAACCCTGAACTGATATAGATAACTACACCATGACTACTGATAAACAACTGAACTAGCTTGTTGATTAAGTTAACTCGTGTTAATAAGATAAATCCCAAGAAATCCCAAGAAGCCACTAGGAGATTTATTAGTACGTAAAATATATCTGGTAATTAACTCGACGTGATGTGCTAAAGGACATTATTAATTTGATTCTTTGTATCATTTTAATCTTTTTATCACACTTTAAATCTCATTGGGTATAAGGATAATGGACACTGTGTAGGCTCTTCTTACACTGTAGGAGGTTCAATGAGCTACATTGTCTTTAAGTTATGTTTGGAGGCAAGGGAAGACCTCCTATCAATACAGTTTTGGCCTTCGAAGTAAGTGTGTGTGTGTGTGTGTGTGTGTGTGTGTGTGTGTGTGTGTGTGTGTGTTTTATGACCAGTCTTTGAATTCAGATCATGTAATTGTGTCATAGTCAATAACCAAATAGGATTTCTACGCCTCCTAGTTAACATCACAGGTATGCATAATGTTGTAGAGGATGAAGCCAGACACACTATATGGTCTTATTACTCCCAATTATATAACACCTTTGAGATATTACCATTGTTTCTATGTTATTCCAGGGTGATTGAAACTGAGGGTCACACCAAGAACGATGAATAAACACGAGAGGATTTTTTTGTGTTTAACCCAACAGTAAAGAATTAACTGAAGATCCTGAGGGTAGTAGGTCGATTAGGGTGTTAATTCTGTCATTGTATATAGCGATTTGTTGCTCCTAGTGGCTTCAGGATCTGTTTAAGGGATCATCTTTGATTAACTAAAGTCAACTAGTAAAAATGAAGGGACAGGGATTACTGTATATACTTCTCCGTCTCCTTCATTTAAGACTTAGTTCAGTGTTAAATATGTAAAGTCTCTCAGTTACTGATTTAAGAATGTGAAGAAGGAAAAAAGTCACATTTAGGAATTCTTGCAGTGCAGAGGGAGGGGTTTGGTCACCACCCCCTTCCTCCTCCTCCACTAGCTCTGGTCTGTAGTACAATCCCAGATTCTTAAAACAGTTGCTTAAGTTATTATTATTTTTTCTCCATAACTAAGGATAAAACAGTTTCTTTATATCGTAAGGTAGAGTCTCAGAGTAATATTGTAGCCATTTTTACCACCACTCAAGGACGACACCAATAAGGGAAAGGAAGTGGGTTTAACTTACGATTTTTTAAGAGTCTGGGAGCCATCGCTGTGGTGTGACAGAATTTATTTCTTAAAAAAATCGTCTACTTCTCCAAATAACACCAACAGTGACCAAATGCTGACTGCAATGTGATTCTTATTATGTTACTCAAAATATAGTGTTGTTATATATATATATATATATATATATATATATATATATATATATATATATATATATATATATATATATATATATATATATATTATATATATATATATAATATATATAAATATATATATATATATATATATATATATATATATATATATATATATATATATATATATATATATATATATATATATATATATATATATATATATATATATATATATATATATATATATATATATATATATATATATATATATATATATATATATATATATATATATATATATATATATATATATATATATATATATATATATATATATATATATATATATATATATATATATATATATCTTGATAAAATCACATATTTTCTTGCATTAAAGTTGGTCTCATTTTGTTAAGTGAGATAACTTGAAGTTCAGCCTCTCTTCCTCAGCTTATTTCACCTTAAGATTGATCACCCTCATGCTAACTTAACCCAACCCATCAGGTAGCAGTAGGGTGATTATTCTTCAGGTGAAAAGGTTTACAGGTGTATCTGTTAAACAATAATATATTCGCTATTGATATATAACAAATGGCTACTTGAAGAGGTGTACATTAACTAGAGTAACATAGTGTTTTAGTAATATGATAATTTTAGTAACTTGTTTCTGTTACAGCTTATGATAATGTTTGTGTAATGTACTGCAATATTCCACTGACAGTCATTTGAGAAGTTGTTAGTTCACCGACAGCCATTTTAACATATTTTAGCGATTTTTTACGTCACCAACAGTCATTTTAGCGAGTTGTTGCGTCACTGACAGTCATTTTAGCGGTTGTTACGTCACCGACAGTTAGTAGGATTCAGTATGGACTTCTTCCATTAGTTTTTTTTTTTTACATATTTTAGCCAATATTTTCTTTTTTCTTTGCTTTTCACTTTTGTACAACCTATGTCATATTTTGATTTATTTAATAATCTTGATCTTGTACAACATTTAAGATGATATATGGGTGATAAACTTCTTTCTTTTTTCTTTTTCTTTTTTCTCTCTCATATAGTAGCCATTAACATCACCTATCTCAACCATCCAACACCTCCATATGCCACAGTTGATCTTACAAACCCGGAAGGAACTATCATTTTCAGTAATTATAACTCCTTACTCTCATCTATATACTGTAGAACTTAACGTCCTCTTAATATATGTGTAATTGGTGGCAAAATAATATTAACTTCATGAGAAAGTTTTTTTTTTTTTAAGTTTATGAGGAATAGAAGTTTGTGGACTTTTTTTATTTTATTTTAGTGTGTTAATTTCCCACTTTCTTTCAGGACGGAACATATGGGGGGAGACTGAAGAAAATGCGTCGATCGTCATGGCGGCGCGAAAGGTGGTCAGCCTCTGAACACTATTACCGCGACTTGTCCACCGGGAGTCAATGTAATGATAAACGTACCCTTCGTATCAAGAGGGCGCTGAAGATAGCCAAAACCACCAACTTATAACCCCGGCCGTCTGGGTGTCTGTCTCGTTCTCTTCATTAATTTACTCGACCCATATATATGTATTCTGATACATCCAGGTTGTGTTTTTCTCTCTCTCTCTCTCTCTCTGTATGTTACGACTAGAATCATCAGACTATCAACTCACAGGAACACAAAATATAACACAACTCCTGCACCGTCTGTAGATTTTGTGACAGGTGACTGCAATTCGACCACATCTGGTTTAGTAAAGACACGTACTGTAGATTCAACAATGTTTACACTTCCACCAACTTCTTTCACTTCCACGTATGTAATTCCTTCACTGATTTTTATTTAATTTTTTTATATTTTTTTATGTCATTATATGTTTTCCTCTATTATCATATTTCTTAACATTTATTTATTTTTTGTTTATCATATCTCTGTTTCATTATTTTTTATTTGTATTTCTTTACATTTCATTATATTTTCCTCTTATCTCTCAACATTTCATTATATTTTCCTCATTTCTAAACATATAATTATATTTTCCTCTCATTTCTAAACATTTCATTATATTTTCTCACTTTTCTCACATTTCATTATATTTTCCTCTCATTTCCAAACATTTCATTATATTTTCCCACTTTTCTCACATTTCTCACTGTCTTCCGTTTTCAAGAGACGAGACACCACATCGCCGTAGTTTGGGACAAGGCGAAGCGCTGCAAATTGTGTTTATAAAACAAAAGTATATATATACATATATTTTCTTTATACTTTTCATGTGATACACAAAATATAATATGTTGTCGAGGAGGTACAGTAGTAGTGAGGATAAAACAATGATAATAGTGCTGGTGGAAATGCACGATTTATATGTGAAGGACGGTTGGTGTGTGTGTGTGTGTGTGTGTGTGTCGCCACGAAGGAAAACAACTTTTTTTAGGTATTTTTATGACATAAGACTTCCTGTTTTTTTATGAAAGAAAATGTAGTACTGTAGTATTTTTTTAGGTGTTACTAAAAAAAATCTCTCTTACTTATTTAAGAAGGTATGTTAATAGTGACTTAAACATATTTTTTCGGTATTTCGTGTTTTTGTAATGTAGTGTGGAAGCCGTTGCTGCTCCCTTCAACATAATACTATATACAAGTTTGTGTAAAAAAATACCATATATATATATATATATATATATATATATATATATATATATATATATATATATATATATATATATATATATATATATATATATATATATATATATATATATATATATATATATATACAGTATATATATATTTATTTAAAAATATGTAATGCCCTTTATATAATACTGTGTTAGGAAGTTAATGATACCCTTGTTATTGATTTGTGTTGTATTGCATTTTCGTTAACAAGATCTGAAGAAAAAGAAGATGAAGAAGAAGAAGAAAAAAGTTTGTGAAGAGGGAAGTAAAATAATGTAGATAAAAGTGTGTGAAAACAGTGAGCAAGGAAAATAAAAAGAGGAAAAGATTGATATGTAAGGGAATAATAATATAGTTAATGTGTACAAGACCCACCAAACCTCTCTCTCTATCTCTCTCTACTGGATTCATAGGCACCACAATATCACACGGTAAATATCTTCGACTTGTAACATAGACGGTGTAAATAATTCGCTGCGTTAGTCCCTGTAAATTACTTCTCAATATTATAAGGACACATGCAAAAGAAAATAATAATAACTGCAAAAGAAAAATAATAATAATAATAATAATAACTCTTGACTGTGCCTTTACGTTTATGAATGTTCTGATACACAACCGCATAATCCAGACCTGAATTTAACATTATTTACTCACGTTACGTCATTCAAAAAATATAATAAAAATCACAATACTGTACCACATTCATAGCATTCGTAATTGCCTAATAAGTATGGATATTTTTTTTTATAGAGGAAGACTTAAAGAGACGTTTTGTATGTGTGTGTGTAGGTGACTTAAATCGTGTTAGGTCATATGAGTTCATGGTCTGATTATGAAAGGAATAAACACGAAAATATAAAGAATAATAATATCGAATCCTGACCCCAACACACTCTTGCTCGTCAAACTCCCAATGAAATTATGTCTCCTGCACTTGACAAATTCCTCGGTATATTTCTTGGTGTTTCTATTGAGCTGTTGGGTTAGTAGATGCTCTGGCTACCTGTTGAGGAGTCTCTTGAGATGAACTCACACACACACACACACAGTCGAGCCGGGACGTCACTGTTGTATATTAAGGCTTCTTCCACCAATCACAAATCATTTTCTACTGCCCTATCCAATCACAAATCATTTCTTACGCCCCTATCCACCAATCACAAGTCATTTCCTTTGCTCCATCCACCATATCAGAAATCCCTCAGAATACACACGTAACCTTCTTTGGATGTGTCTTATCAACTAAACAACAGCTCTCGTTCACTACAGTCCTGACCTAACATTCACCTCTCCTTCAGTCCTCGCTGTTGTGAACGGTCGATCAATCTCAACGGTCGCACTCGAGGCGTTAACCAGTGTATGTTAATGTTGCTGTGTTCTGCTGCGGTCAAGTTTTGGATGCTAGGAGTGTGTGAGTCAAGCCTGGTGCAAATTTTCTGTTGATGATTGTAATGATGATGATGATGCAATATGGTGATGATGTAGTATAGTGATGGAAGGTGATAGTGATGATGATGATGATGGCATAAGATGAAGACGGTGAAACATGGTGAAGTTGGTGATTCAAGGAGGTGGTAATGATGAAGCAAGGTGAAGACGATGAAGCAAGGTGGTGAAGATGAAGCAAGGTGAAGACGATGAAACAAGGTGAAGACAATGAAGCAAGATGACTCGCAAAACAAGTGAATGGGAGAAGAGAAGACGATAATAATTAAGAAGAAAAAAAAGGAAAACAAACTTAAATAAATATTATGAATAAAGAATCAAAAGAAATGGCGATAAGTAAAGAAAATACATAAGAAACACAAGATAAAGTAGGAATAACAGGAGAAAATAATAAACGCAGAAATAGTGAGAAACTACCAAAAGAAACAAATGAAGAAAATAAGCTAAAAAAAGTGATAATCGTATGAGAAAATGATTACGAATTCGATAAATGGGAGATAGAATGATAAAGAAGGGAGTGGAGGAGAGAACGAGATAATACCTATTGAAACTGACGTCAGTACCGAGGTGCCTAATATAGGGTAAACTAAAATAAACTTGCTAGAGAGCTGCTAGTTGCCTATAGATGGGCTATAGACATAAGTACAGAACTCCGCTAACAGTCCCCTCTCACTCTCCCTCCCTCTCCTCCCTCTCCCTAATCCCCCTGCTGGCCATAGTCGTCGGGGCATCATAGATATAAACCACACGTTATGTCATTCATAATATCGACCTTAAGTGAACTGGCACTGTTGCCCCAGATGTTAAATGTAATGCTGTTTGTTTTATATACGAGGAGACTTAAAGATATATCAAAGGTAGAAAGATCTGTCTATTAAACTGATGCTGAAAAATTACGATGCCGGCGCCCATCTCCTGCTAGATAGTTTTACACTCGCTAGTCACAGCTCTGTCTCGAGGACGGTGTTGTCGAGACATTGTCCTCGGATACAGTAGTTAAGAACTATTTTCATAAAAGATTTTACAAGATTTTTCACGTTTTTCTTACGCAGTGTTTGTGAGATGGATCTCCGTCTATGTGAGAGACCCCTTGTCCCTCTTGAGAGGTACCCTATACCTGTGAAAGGTTTCCTAATCTTATGAGAAGTTCCCCCATCCTTAACACAGGATTCCTCTTCTCTCTGTGGAGACCTCCTCATTTAAGTGGTTCTCCTTCCCTGTGTGAGATAATCCTCATCCTTACGAAGGTTGTCTGTCGTCGCAAGAGGTTGTTTGACCTCTGTGGGTAGATAGATAGACATCTTAAAAGTTACCTTTCCCTCTCCTGTTAGTAAGTGTTGCCCCATCCCTGTGAAAGGTTCCTCAGTCTCTGTGAGTCGCCTGTTTCTGCTTGTGCAAACTTATATATACTAACAGAAACATTTTACTATAATACATATATACCTATATCTTGTAAACTGTGAGCCTGGCCAGTATATATCCTTATAGGGTGACGTGACGCTGTAGTGAGTGTACGAAAGACTCCTCCTGACGATACTACAGGACAGGGGCTGTTCTTCTCTAGTACCAGATATCGTGTGTGTGTCTTAACCATGTAAACGGTAAAACAGTGACTCCTGTTGTCTGATGAAAGTATTATTCACTAACCAGAAACGTTTATGACTTGATAAAAATAAATAATAACCTTCCTCAGCTAAAGATACCGATTTAAGCTAGTAACTGTGGCTAGCTAGTAACTGGTTATAGCTAGTAACTGTGGCTAGAGATGTCATGGGAAATACCTGATGTACAGCGTCGAATGTTTCTTTTCTTGATGTTGTTTTGGTTTTATTGTTTTTTCCGACACACAATGAGAGGTCTGTGTTTAGTGGGACTTTCTTGAACGGAGAATTTAAAAGAACTGTTCATTAAATTTGTTCAACGTCTATGTTCAATATTCGATGATTTGGTTCAGATAAGTAATGCTTCTGTTGTGTTTCTTTTGATGTAAATATTCTGTTATATCATCTCTGTTACGTTACATCTTGGCAGTTGTTACAGTTAGTTGTTATATTTAGTTGTGAGTTATAGTTAGTTGTTATAGTTATGATGTTAAATCTTCCCTTGGTTGATGTTGGGAGTATTAGGGCAGGGTTGGTCCGTGATCCAGCCAGGTCCTTGATCCAGCCTAGTCCGTGATCCAGCCAGGTCCTTGATCCAGCCTAGTCCGTGATCCAGCCAGGTCCTTGATCCAGCCAGGTCCGTGAACCAACGTAGTCCGTGATCCAGCCTAGTTCGTGATCCAACCAGGTCCGTGATCCAAGAGGTATGTTTCTTTCCATCAAATAACAATCTCACAGGGTCACCACACTAAGTCACAACACCTTACACCTCGTGCTGTGTGTGACTGAACCTTTAAACTGATGCAGATGAGGTAACATACTTTGACACACTATAGCTGCCATCTGTCGTGTGTTACCCCAGAGTATGGTAGGACATCATGAACAATGATATAGAGTTACGTTACATCCCTCACTCGTCTAGTCACATCTCCAGCTGACTGTAACAATATGAGTGATGGTGAGATTAATTTTGTTCTCTGTCTGGAAAACCTGAAGTGTGACTATAATTTGGTTTCACTTTTTTTCCTTGCGCTATGTTTGAGAGTCGTGGCCCCAAGCATTCCTATGTACTATATATACTGGCCAGGTGGGTCCTTCTCATCCCCTTGTTATTATGGGTGATCTTTTTCATACTGTGCCGTCGGTATTCCAGAGATGCTGATGCATTTCTCAGTGAAGCAACGTCGTGTTATTTGAGAGTGTTTCGTGACGCAAGTTTAACCAGATTTATCCGTAGGTGTAACTTAAAAAAAAAAAAATTTGGAGAATGATGGATATGTTTGGGTCTCCATATGGTATAGTTTGTTGACGTTTTAAGGTTACTCGGGCAAGTCGTGCTGGTGGTGGGTGATGTCTCGTGGCATTAAGTGTTGCGTATGAAGGTTATATAGACCAGCAACGTTTAAGTGTTTATTCCTCTTTCAAGACTGTCCTTAGTTTCAGAGGTGACTATGAGAGACTTACTGACATCAAATTATTTTTTTTTTTTTACTATTTACGTACAGTTGTCAGAATAGGAGGACTTCTGTTTCCTGGTGATGGCCTCCTGTTTATTCCTCCTCCTCCTTATCCATCCTCCTCCTCCTCATCCCTCTCCTCCTCCTTATCCCTCCTCCTCCTTATCCATCCTCCTCCTCCTTATCCATCCTCCTCCTCATCCCTCTCCTCCTCCTTATCCCTCCTCCTCCTTATCCCTCCTCCTCCTTATCCATCCTCCTCCTTATTCCTCCTCCTCCTCATCCCTCCTCCTCCCTTTGCTAGTTACGATAATCATAACCCCACCCTCGTGAGTCGCTATGTAGTATCGCCATTATTATTAAACATATATATGCAATTCAGTGTTGTATGTGTACAGTATATTACGGCAGTGAACGACAGTGTGTAAATTACCAGTCGGGTCCTACAGGGGAGTACACCAAGACGCTACTGTCACTAATCAGATCAGGAATA